ATCGAGTGGCCCAGTATATGCATCGGCCTTGTGATGGTCATTGGCTTGCTGCTAAGAGAATCTTACGCTATTTGAGTGGGACAATTGACTATGGCTTGGTTTTTAGGCCGGCCCCTATGCCTGAGTCTTGCTGCTTGATTACGTTTGCTGATGCTGATTGGGCCACTGACATTGATGATCGTAGGTCGGTCTCGGGTTCGTGTGTGTTACTCGGATGTAACTTGGTTTCGTGGAGTGCTAGGAGGCAGAAGAGTGTGGTTCGCTCGACAACAGAGGCCGAGTATCGTAGCATTTGCTGATACAGTGGTTGAAGTAGTCTGGATTCGTTCGTTATTGTCTGATGTGGGTGAAGTGGTTGTTGCAGTGCCTGTCGTCTGGAGTGACAATACAAATGTTGTTTCCATGAGTGCTAATCAGGTGTTCCACGCTAGGTCGAAGCATATATAGTTGGATATACATTTTGTGCATGAAAAGGCGACTTGTGGAGTAGTTCAAGTGAACTATGTACCTGCAGAGCACCAGGTTGCTGATGGGTTAACAAAACCCTTGGCAAAATATGCTCATCTGCTGTTTTGAAAGCAAGTGTAGATGGTAGAGAAGGAGAGAGCTGAGAAGGACAGGGAGAATGTTGAAGTATAGATGCATGTTTACATGTTGTGTGCATGGTTGGTTGCTGCATTTAATGTATGTGTGAGTTGTGTGAGTTAGTTTGTGATTAGTTAGGATTAGTTAGGCTGTTAGAGGTAGTTATGAGTCTGTTAAGTGAGTTAGTTAAGTCTGGTATACAAGCTATTGTGTATAAAAGGCTGGTGTAATTTCTTGATGAATAACAAGTTTAGTTGCTTTCTTTAGTATGCTGTTACATTTCAGCAACATTTGGAAATTTCTAAATAATTTTGTTGGACTGATTTCATCTTTAGATATAGGCTGTAAGTTCTTTTGTTTTGTTGTCTGGAATTCTTTATTGTGTTTGGGGCTTGGGTTATCAATAATGCTTTAAGGCTATCATCATTATTATTTTCCTTTTTTTTAAAATAAATATCGGTCAACTTTATTTTCAAAAAGGACATGATTTTGTCTCTTAATCTTTAAGGGAGCTCTAAAAACATCTAAAAAATATAGAAAGCACGATTTTTACATCGTTCCACTAATTGTAGTATGGTTCATGTTTATTGGTTAAGGTTTATAATACAAGATCGGAAATAGAGGTAGGAATTTATATTAAAAATTTAGGAGATGTAAAATTATAAAATTTAAGAGTAAAAAATTAAGTAATTCATATAAATATTTAAAATATAAAATAAATTAAAATTTTTATGGGATATGATCGCATCCTTCAATATCCCTGGGTCTATTCCTAAATGAGATCGAGATGAATTATACTATGATGAGTCGAAGGATCTGATGATTGCGTTCTCCAAGTTCAAAGCGTTTCTAGATATTATTTCAAGGGTTTAGAGATAAAATTATTGATATTACACATAAAAAATAAGGGTAAATTATAAATTTCATCACTGAATTTTATTATCTCTTCTATTTTACTTACTAAACTTTAAAAGTTTTTAATTTTCTCACTAAACTTAATAAATTGAATTTTTGGGTCATTGAACTTTATTCTATTTCCTATTTTGGCCACTCCGTTGTTAAATATTTAAAATCATTAAAAATGATTCCATTAAAAAAATAATTTTTCACCAAAACGATATCGATTTGCATCCATAAAATTGTTTATTTTAACGTTATTAACTATTTAACGGTCGAGTGATAAAAAAATCAAATGTACTAAGTTCTATAAGTAAATAAAAAAAATTTAAAATACAATGAATAAAAAAAAATTTAGTTATCAAATTTGTAATCTACTCAAAAAATAATACATTTTTAATTTTCACATTTATGACCTTATTGGTCAACCAACTTCATTTGTGCTGTTAAAAGACGGAGAATCTAGCCTTTTTCTCTATGGAAGCCAGAAAATCTTTTTAACTTTCATTTCAAAACAATTCTTCAAATAGATATATATTAAAATAAAGTAATTAATGTCATTTAAAAAATAATTAATGCCTTATCTTACTACCAAAGTTGGAGGTTCAATAAATTCATTGTTCAGCCAAAAATTATTAATTTTATAGAAAAAACGAGTCAAATGATTTCAATAAGAGAAAATAACATTAGTGACCGAAAATGCCTTATAATATACGATTTTGACCAATTTTTTTTCGATTTACCAAAATGACCAACAAAATCGCAACGCGATCTTCAGTATCGCAAATCAGATTTCCAGATATCGCAACAAATTCTGAATCGCAACACGATTCTGACTAACGCAACGCGATTCTGACTATCGCAACGCGATAATACAAAATCGCAACGCGATTCTGACTATCGCAATGCGATTTTCCAAATTTACGTTAGTCCAAATTCGCGTTGCGATTTTCCAAAATCGCAACGACTGGTGGTATTGCATTTGTTTCTTAAGAATTTTCTCTAAAAAGATAGTATCCGCGCGGACGTGTTGAAGACACGTATTACCACGACCACGACCACGACCCGAGACGAGACGGCGACGGCGGCGGTGGTGCATGAGAATCCCCCTTGTTCTCTTCCACTCAACAAGGAAGTGGGAAATCCAAGCCTTAAATACCCATTCCCAATAGTGTTTCCAATACTATGTGGGATTGAGCATTGCAAACACTTGGGAATCTTTTACACTATCGCAACACATTCTTTATTGTTTCAAACTAAGATCTTACAAATGGCTTGGGAGTCTTTTACACTATCGCAACATATTCTTTATTGTTTCAAACTCCACGTGAATTTGGAATAGTTAAAATGTAAACTTATTTTGGATTTTTCACTATCGCAACACTTTTTCACTATCGCAACAACACGTTTTTCAAACTTTCGCAACACATTTTAACTATCGCAACACATTTTTCAAAATCGCGTTGCGAATCTTACAATCGCGTTGCGAATCTGGATATTCGCGTTGCGAATTTAGAAACTGAGTTGAAAAATTAGAGTTCGCGTTGCGAATTTAAGATCGAGTTGCGATTTTGTTGGTCATTTTGGCAAATCCAAAAAAAGTTGATTAAAATCGTATATTATAAGGTATTTTCGGTCACTGAGGTTATTTTCTCTTTCAATAATTAATAAATTATTGTTATTTTTAAATTCTTAAATTCAATTATTGTGTAGGTAAGATATATAAATATTCTTTATCAATGATTAAATTTTTAAATAAATATTATTTTATATTCATCACATATTAATAAAAAATTAAATTAAAAGTAACAATTTTAGTTTAACGCATTTAACCTTATTTAAAAATATTTTTATTAATTCATTTAATAGGATGAGCTTGAGCGATTGAAGTGAAAACCTCCAAAAAGCCATGAACAAAACGTAACAGTGAACAAAAGAAAATGGAAAAATAATTGAAAGTATAACCATATTTTCTTTTCCTTTCGTTTTCATTTCCATTGATATCATGAACAAGGAGAACAAAGGGTTTGTGGTTTGCAAGCATTCATGGCGGTTAAATTAGACAAAGTAATTGAAGTGAAAGTTGAAATCTGGTGTTTTGTGTCTTGCATTTAACGGTGGTGCCTACAAGGGTTTCAAATAGTGGAGCACAAACTTAATAGCGGCCGCTATTTCACGATAGTGCCATCGTCCGATACTGCTATTGTCCAAAATACCGGTGTTAAGTAGAATCATATCAATAGCGGTCGATTGTGGCCACAACTTAAAGTGTAACGGCCGATCACGGTGATAGCGGGCCATTATTCCTGTTATTTCTCGTTACACCAAATCAAATACTGAAACCCATACAAATTTTCTGAATTTTCAAAAGAAAAAATAGAGCTTAGAAGAAAGAAAAAAGATGGAAAATGACCATACCTATACCTTTTTTTTGGACAACAAAGAGAAGAAAACATGAAATATGATGTTCCAATTGATGATTTTTCAACAAAGAAAGTGCAAGGGAAGCTTTCAACAATACATCTACAAGAACATAAATGAAACTTTTTGATGAAAAGCACAAACGAAAAATAAACATGGAAGTTTAATTTTCTCTGCTTTTCCTGCATCTCTGCCTCCCTTCTCTCACACGCACAAGATAAAAGAATAAGAGGCTTGGGTATTTAGTAATTTTTATTTTATTTATGTTTTAGATTTTAAATATTTTTTTATTTTTAATTGTTTGGGTTTGGATCAAAAGAAATCTCAATAAATTAATAAGATTTGGGTTACCATGTTATGGGTTTTTGTGTTGGGTTTGTTTTAGTTTTGTGAGTTTTAAATTTTAATATTTTTTTGGTAAGTGAATAATAAAAGATAATTTTATGGATTAATTTTTTAAATGATTATGATTTATTTTAAGAGATTAAATGTTAAATTTAAATTTTATACACTTAAATTATTTTTATTATTTATTAATTTATGCGATAAACTTATTTTTCTTCACTGTTAGTAAATGTTTATTATATTTTGTATTATATTATTGATAATAGAATTAATGAATTGTTTTATATTTATAAATTCTAATTTTAATTTTATGTTCCTTGTATAATATTTTTAAGAAATTTATAAATAAATATAAGAATAATTAATGATTGTAAAAATTATAATAATGTATTAATAAAAGTTTTTATAAGTTCACAAGTGTTAGAAAATACTCTAAATATCATTAAAATTGATTTTTTATAATTATAATTATAATTTATTATATTATGTAATAAGTTGTGCGAATTAAAAAATTTACGTCCGTGATACCCGTATTGATCATGATAGCATCTATTACGTTCGCAATCGTGATAAATGTAACGCGACCGCAATTTAAATTCCTGATACCTACTAGTGCGAGAGAGAGAGAGAGAGAGAGAGAGAGGGAGGGGGAGAGAAGTGTCAGTAGGCCATGTTTTCCACCATCACTTGCCTTAAATGAGAAAATATTGTTGAGCTCCACACTTTTCAAGAGTAACCCACTTTATTTCATTTTATCTAATCTTTTTTCCACTCTTCATCTCTTTCAAGACTGTTACTTTGGTGGGATTCTCTTTGATTTTATTGATGAAAGAAATGGAGAACGAAGAAAATACAGTGACAAAGGAAGATGCTGCTTCAAGACAAGGAAGTGTTGCTGTTCCTATTCAACAGGTATGGTTTTTTTTGGCGATCAAATGATTGTTCTTAGTTCTTGTGTGTTTTGGAAAAGTTTTGAATTTGTTTTGCATGTTTTGGCTCTGTCTCTTTGCCAAACCATTAGCTTCTGGTTAATGTTTAATTTGTGTTTTTTAACTGAATTTTATTCAATCTTTATTTGATAACATTTTCCGCTAGAGAATCCTTCGATGGAAATTTGCAGTAATGCAAATCAACTGGTTTAATTCATCGAAGATGCAGATCATGCATGTTCACTTGATGTAAAGATTATGATCCATGCTGTTTTTCGTGGCACCTTATTCTCATGAGCAAAATTAAGCACAAATTAATTAGCTTCACTCTGGGGGATTTGATGTTTAAGGCAACTTAGAAGTCCACAATTAATTCCAGAACCGGTTCGTCTTCATTTCGAACAGGATTTAAATTGCGGTTGAGTTATGTTTATCGCGGACATAGTGATGCTATCTTGATCATGAAATAACGGTTTCGGACAGCGCCATTATCATTATATAACGGCTGCTCTTCCTATAATGGACCTCTATTTAAATCCCATTCAGTAGGACTGCCTTAGTCATTGTGAAGTATTTATCAGCTAATCTTTACAGTAATATGCTAAGAGCGGCTCTCAAGTTATGTTTATCATTGTATATTTGCTTGCATAATGATGAACTGTTCTTGTTTAAGGTCGAAGATTCGGCGGGAATAACCGAGGAAACGATGGATGCTCGTAACTCGAAGCGAAGCAGCCTCTTTCTCGAGATACCCTCAAGAACTATGGATGATTCCTCTCAAGAGTCTGTCACAATTAAGATGCCTCAAACACCTAGTTTGACTCCCAGGAAAGTGAATTTTCTCTTGACACCGAGTCCATCTGATGCACGGGTTAATGGATCCTCAGGTCCCCCATCATCGAAAGGCAAATCGTTGAAGAGTCTCTTACGGAAACTAAGCTTCAAGCATCGAACTATAAGTTCAGATATTGAAAAGGCTGTGAACGTTGCTCCTGAATCTTCTTCGTATACTTCTATACGAGAGAAGCCTCCCATCTCAAGGACACTGTCACTTACAAAGATATTTACTCCTAGGATAAATAGGACATCATCATTGCCTGTAACGCAAATTGCACATTCAAACCCGGAGTCCGTAAGCGGTGGAAGCCTAGGTGGCTCCGTAAGTTTCTTAATGTTTCTTCTTGACATCGTATAACTTCGGATTAACCTAGTTGGTTTTTTGGTTATGACTTAAATGGATGGGGTTAGTTTGTTGCTCGAATTATTTCACAAGTAACATATCTGCAATCTAATGACATGGCCAAGTTATGTTTTAGTGTTAATTGAACATCTGAAACTGTCTGTAGGATATTCTGGGTTTCTCCTTTCTGAAGTTAGTCGTTTCTGTAAAAGGATTTCGAGTGCTGGTATCAAGTTGTTAGTTTCTTTGCAGAGTAAGGGAAGCATGCTGCAGATAGCTCGCTCGTTTTCAGTTCCTGCAAACGAAAAAGAAGGAAAATTAAGGAGGATGGATTCGTTCTTCCGAGTGGTCCCTTCAACTCCGCGAGTAAAGGAAGGAAATATCAGTTCAAATGCTTCAAACGGACCTGATGCTGGTATGTATTCATCTATGTTTAGACTAAGATCTTTGTCTGAACAGATTTGACACGAAATTAAACCTGAATCTTTTGTCTGCAATGTCTTATGAAAATCTTGCTGTTCAGAAAACTGTGCCCCTGATGGCGAGGACATACCGGAAGAAGAGGCTGTTTGTCGAATTTGTATGGTTGAACTATGTGAAGGCGGAGAAACATTTAAGATGGAATGCAGCTGCAAAGGCGAGCTTGCATTGGCCCACAAAGACTGTGCTGTTAAATGGTTTACCATCAAAGGCAACAAGACATGTGATGTGTGCAAGCAAGAGGTTCAGAACCTACCAGTCACCCTTTTACGAATCCAGAGTGTTCGAGCTCGAAATGGTGGAAGAGCTCTTCAGGCTGATGTTCATGGATACAGGTAAATAACTATTTCTTACTGACTACGTTACTTGGATAAGAATCAGGTCTAGATATCTATCAGTCACTAATATGTTCAATTTTGCATGCTATATATCTCTTTGGGTTCCATAGGCTATAACAGCAAGCTCTAGTTCATCCTAAAACTATACATTCTCTCAGCTAAATATTAAGTAAAATCCGAAAAACTGGACTGCTTCTGCGTGTTCTACTTATTGTTCTATATTCCCGAGCACTTATTGGTTTGATGATTGCAGGGTTTGGCAGGAGGTCCCGGTTCTTGTAATCATTAGCATGCTTGCGTACTTCTGTTTTCTCGAGCAGCTTCTGGTATAAAGCAGTTTTCTTTCCGAAATGTCTCCTTTATGCTATTTTATATGCATATCCTTGACATACTGTTAAACCTGCAGGTTGGAAAAATGGGTACCGGAGCCATCGCTATATCGCTTCCGTTTTCTTGCGTGCTAGGCCTCCTTGCATCCATGACTTCATCAACAATGGGTCAGCTTGGCAAACATCTTTGAGCTATATGATTATATTTTCGATATCTGTTCAACATGTTTTTATCAATGATATATATTTTTGACAAACATTTTGAATGTTTGGTGTTCAGTGAAGCGAAGATTCATCTGGGTTTACGCATCAATTCAATTTGCTTTGGTGGTTTTCTTTGCTCACATATTTTATTCATTGGTAAGTGGTTCTCGCTACCTTCTTTAGCCGGCTCAAAAATCGAGTTTTTCCCCAAAATTTATGGGATTTTATTCATTTTTATACTTCAACTGGTAATTTAGATTAAGAACTCTCTACATGTTAGCGTCATCTTGCTTTGATTTGTGCATTCTCAATCAGTACTAGCACTCGCCGAAGTAATCCGGACTCTTCATACACCTTTGTCCGGTGCATAGTCAAATAAAAAAGAAAAATATCAGTGCAATGGGTCATTAAAGTACACATTTTTCTGGATTTCTAAGCATAAATTTTGTGTAAAACATGGTTTTTGTGCTGCAGGTGAAAGTACAAGCAGTTCTATCGGTTCTCCTCGCAACATTTTCTGGTTTTGGTGTTGCAATGAGTGGGAGTTCGATCATTATCGAGATCCAACGATGGAGAAGAAGATGGCAGGCTTGGTCTGACGAGCAGCAGCATGGTTCCCAAGTTCTGATGCCACCGCTGGTCCAACCCACTCGAGCAGTTAATTCACTTCGGAGAGTTCCCGATATGAACCAGCAAAATGCCGAGACTTTCAGCGGGAGCTGAACCGATCTGGTCCTCATGGTTGATCTTCATGTGATTTATCTGCAGATGAAAGCATGGTTTTCTTCTGTAATATGAAATAGAATAGGATGTCATACATTCCTCCACCATTTAGGCCAAATGAAAGAGGACAAAAAATGCATTGCAAAATTGTGGTAGTGTTTTGAGGTTTACATTGTCTCAAAAAAGTCCCCCATCGATTATTTTGTAATGCGCTTGCAAATTTAAGGGGGGAAAAATGTTGTGATCAGATTATATAAATGTTTTATGGTAACACAGACGTTTATGTTAGAGTGGACAAGCTTATAAGGGAGATAAATTTGTAAAATTTTAGGGGCGTGAAAATAGACTTTTAATAAAAAATAAAAAAATATTTAAATTATATAAAGTTTTAAAATTTTTAGGTAGCAACCGTCCCCACTTTCCCTCTCTAGGTCTATCCATGTATTTAGGAATAGTCACGAGACTTATACTCGACGGGTTTCAATATAATCTTATTTGATAAGGAAATTTTTAAAAAATTGAATTCAAATCGGTTAGGTTTTTTAGATTATAAGTTTAGGTTATGTTCAAGTTTAAGATGAAAAATATTCGATTTGATCTAACCAAAATAATAATATGATTATACTTTATAGCTTTCCTCCTCTCTTTTCCATTTTTTATTCTTTACAACTTGTGTCAATGTTATTGATCAATCTAATTTTTTTCTTTTTCAATTTTGTTTAACCGGCGGCGAAACCGATTTTAATGATGGTTGTCGCCTGCCGGATATCTTTTTTCTTTGTTTTTTTAATTTTTTTAATAAAAATAATTATGTCTTTTTGAAATGTTCTTTGTTTTTATGGCACATTTATCTCTGTTTTTGTGACACGTTTATCTTTGTCTTTGTGATATGTTTTTCTCTATCTTTTGGTTGTTTACGACTTTTTGCCATTGTTTACAGTTTTTTGCCGTTGTTTTTGTTTTTTTTTTCTTAGGGTGGGATTTGACATCGTCACGATTGATCAAGATGACGCTTATTTGTTATCATGATGATCTTCCCTACTTTGGACCCTCGGATTGATTTGGATACGGGTTTTGCGTTCGTGAATAGTTTTCTCACGTCGTTTGACTCTGATTTGCGATTTGTCAGTAGTCAGTAGCTTCATCCACTTTTGTGGTTCGTTTACCGATACAGTCAGATTTGTTCATATCTTTATTTTATTCAATTTTTTTGGTTAGGTTTTTTAATTTTTTTTCCTTCTTTGGTCTTTATGTGATATATGTGACTAGTTTTTTCTCAATGGTAATAGAAAAATATCATAATTATATTTTAGGTTTACGGTTATGCTTGTAAAGTTTTATTATAATTTTGGATATTTTATATTTTTAATAAAACTAGCGACTTTCTATAAAAAAAATTATACTATATATATCTAGGATAATTATAATAATATCATTCTCTATATTGTTTTCCAATTAAATATATATTTTATCAAATAAAATTAAGAAGTATTATATATTATATATTTATGTCGGATCAAATGTAAATTTTATCTCAAAAGACAAGTAAGTGAAAACCTATTTTTATCGAGTTTAAATCGAAAACTTGACCTAACCAGATTCATGCTTATTCCTGATCATATTTGAAAATTTTGCCGTTCAATTAACGATGTCTATTTAAACGAGATAAATTTTTTCCCTCCCATAAATACGCTTAATTATACTTCAAGTCAAGTTCTTTATATGTTATAACGAAAGGTTTTTTTTATGTTATAATAAGGCTTAATGTCAAAATAAGTGCCTAAACTATATCCATTTTTCTAAATAGGTGCCTAAACTAATTTTTGTCTCATCCAAGTGTCTAACGTTACAAACGTTACCTGTTTAGGTGACTGGGCCGTCAACGACATTAATTTCTCCCGTTAAGTGACACGTGTCACAATCAAGTATTTTGAAATTTATTTTTACAATAAAATATTACAAATATTATGATATTTATAAAAAACACTAATTTTTCTTATATTATAAAACAACACCAAAATCTCAAATCCTAACTTTAATACACCACCATCTTTTTTGGCCACGATCACTGCCACCGACGTAGCCCCTGCCGTCGAGACATTCCTTTTAAAATCTGAAGTTGATTAAAAATATCAGGATTTTGTAAAAAAACGTTTGCCTCGAATAATTTGGGACTCGAGTTTAAAAAACCATAAAATCGGTTCGTGGAGTCGCCACCAATATTTTATTAGGGTATGATTGGACACCAAAAAATATATTTGTCATTTTAATAAAAATATTAATTTTGATTAAAACAACAATTTTATGGTATGCATTACCAAAAATTTGAATTTAGGAGTCAGTTACGCATAGGAAAAGATTAACACCCCACAACGCCCTAAATCGGTACCTAATTAATTAATTAGTTATCTTTGCAATAAAACTCATAAATTCAAATGTAATTTAATTTAGGCCCCTTTTAAACACATACAAATTAAAACACATTTCTAATGCATAGAACGGAATAAATGCAATAAAATAATTATATTACCAACCTTTAATAAGAATAAGGATGTTCAATTACTTAAAGATATCGAGACTAGACCTTACATCTATTCTAGCAGTATTTTCTCGATAAATGTAATTAAAAAAACATGATCTTTTTCTCAATCTTAAGTTTTAAATGAAATCAATTTTTATTGTTTTGAGTGACATGATACCTTTTATTTTAAAACTATTGAAAGTGACCTCTTATTCCTTAAGACAACCACTTCTCTCAATCTCAAAATAAACGGATATTCCCTTATTCAAATTATTTTGATAGAGTCAAGAAATGCATAGGAAGGTATCGTATAAATTAATTCAAATTAAACCCTAGACCTATATGCACCAAAGTTTTTTTTTCTAAATATATTAAAATAAATAGACATAAAATAACCATCACATTTAATACAAAACACAAACATAAAAGTCAACATGTATTCAAAAGTTATTTACATAAATACATGTTTATAGCCACACACTACGACATAAATGCATTTACTATATATATTATAATAAAACAAATACGCGTAACTAAGGAAAGAAACATATTTAATAATAAATCAATATACAATAACAAGATTAATACAAATACATGGAAAGAAAAATTATAAATTTAAAAGGCATGGAAAATGAGTCAAATTATTAAATAAAAAAATTAAAATGAAATTGGAAATGAAATTAAAGGGTATATTATTAAAAGTAGACATCATACTATATAGAACATATACGCCTACTATATATTGACAGTATTATGTGTAAATGCTTAAATCTTTTACCTATTATTTAACCTCTACACTTAGGATAATTTACATATATTTAATTAATAGAACCGAATATAAAGCATTTTAAATCAAAGCTAGCTAAATTAAAGGGATTCGTAACTTATGGAGGTTAAAAGTTGAAGTTACTTAAATTAGGATTTAAATAAAGGCTAAATTAAGGGTCTAACAAATTAAGGAAATCATCTAAACATTAAAAAGAAATTAACACTACAAACCCATTTAGGACTAAAATAAATGTAATAAATTACACAATCACAATGCAAATGATAAAAAACATAAGATATACTCATAAACAACACATGTATTCAAGGACCAACAATAAGTGGCTTTAAAATTTAGGAGCCAAATTGAAATTTAACAATGAATATATCAAATCAATCAAAAAATAAAAATAAAAATAACGGCTGAAAATAAAATTTGGGAGAAAAGATTTATAAACATTGAAAAGGGGATTGAAATGGAAGCATGACGAAATTGGGGTGCTAAAACACAAAGAAAGAAACTATTTTAGTGACCAAATGAAATGTTACAAAGTACAAGATCCTCCATGCGTGATTAGACCATGCACTGATTTCAGGAAAACCCTAGTTCCTAAAACGATGTAGTTTTAGATGAGATTTAAATACCCCATTATAAACTTCATGAAAACCCTAGCCCTCATTTTCTTTTCTCCCTTTTTTCCATGCGTCGTTTTCTCCTCTCTTTTTCCTTCTCACTTATTTTTTTTATTGAACCGAGAGAAGAAAAGCCTTTCCGGTCATCCTTGAACGATCTCGATGAGGGTCTGATAAACCCCTAAACACCTCTATTTTAAATCCTTAAACAAACCAAACTCAAATCTAACCTAACCCCCACAATCCCTAAAAAATAAAACCAAAAAAAGCTACCTATGATGTTATGGAGGTCCTCTGGTCACAAGTGAAATAAAGACCTTTGAAACCGATGTAAAATCTCTCTCTTTTTTTTCCAAAAGATTTTCTTTTTTTCCTTTCTCTATTTTTTTCTTCCCTAAAGTTTTTTTTCTTTCTGAAACTGGGCTTATGCCTTTTTTTCTGAATCCCCCATTTTTTCTGATATGGTTCGAACTCCCTTTCCCTTATTCTTCCTCCCTTTTCTCCTCTTTTTTTATTCTTATTTTTTTATTTTTTCTCTCTATTTTTTCTCAAAATTGGGTCCTTGCTCTCTCTTCCCCTTCTCTTTTTTTTTACTGGTTCTGATTTCTCTTCCTTTTATTGTGGTTGCTTCTTTTTTTCTTCATGGTGGTTGGAGTTTGGCGAAGACAGAGGAGGCATGATGGCTGAGACTAGGGTTGGTTGGTATAGGAATGGGGATCCTGTATTTTTCGACATTAATTGTTTGTTGCTTTTTATTATACATTTTTACTATTTTTATTGGTTTAATTTTGTTGGGATTTTTTAGGTAGGATCGTCGGTGGTGGTTGAAATCTCAGTTTTGCTCTTCGGCAGTGGGCATGTGAGCGGTGGTGGAGGCGACGACGGGTGGCAGATGGCTAAGGGTGGCTAGGGTTTCCAACCTTTATTTTTTTAGACACTTGGGCTTCAGTTCATTGAGCCTACTGATTCCTTTGTAATTGGACCCAGTTTGGGCTTGTATATTTTTGTTGGCCTACAATAAAAGAAAAAATAAATATAATAATAATAATAATAATAAATTAAAAACTCAGACAAAACGGGTGTCTACAACTGTCTCTCTTTGTTAATTATTGTGTTAACAAGAATAGGGCAAAGATAAAAAGATAACGCGTTTTTGTCTGGTTCCATCTTGATGTTATTCAAGTGGGACTGAAAACGATAATCATCTCAAGTGAGATTTTTGAAGATCAAATTTGAAAAAAAAGTATATGCTCAGTTACTTTTCAGGGTATA